ATGATCCTGCCATCCTACTAATCTCAATCGGCCGATGGCCAACAAGCTAACCACTAGCATCTGCTATTTTGCTGTTATGAAAATGTAAATATTGTAAATGTAAATATTCACGCATTCTTGTAATGAGCCATTTTCTCTGGACGATTATCTTTTCTAACCACCATTCGTGATGTCCTTATATAATCTTTTTTCATTCAAAAAGTGACTCTTGAATTTAAAAATTTTCCATAAGAACCCCTCGATTTTCATCTATTTCCATAAGCGCCCCTCAATTTCCACTCTGTTTTCATAAGCTCCCCGTTTTAAATAAGCGCCCCGTTTGAATAAGCGCCCCTCAGAAAATGCAAAAAAATATTTTAAGCGCCCGGGCGCTTATTCGCGCGAGTACGGTATTTGGTACGATAACACAACACTCCTCACTCCTATATTTCTTGAGGCAAACTTAGCATTTTTAGTGGTTGTTATCTGGCTAGATAAACTGGAGGTCGTGGGTTCGATTCCCACACGAAACATTTTTTAAACATTTATTTTACTGGCCAGTAATTGGGGACGTACTGAGTATTTAAAACGGTCCACTAAATAATCTTAGATAACATAGTATAATACATTACCATGCATAATTGACCCACAGCTGTATATTGCATCTTTACATTTCTTTACTATCAACACTGCAGTACCCGCTGCTTACTTAGACTCGAATTGAACCCTGGCCATCAAGCGCAAGCTCGGTGGTCTAGAGGTATGATGCCAGGCTAGTGATCTGGAGATCGTGGGTTCGAGACCCACCCGACCGAGAACAACTTGCGATTTTTTTCGCAGTTGTTTTCAAATGTACTGAGTATTCGGTACATTTCCACGTCAGGTAGGGCAAAATTACACCTATACATGTTTCTCCTGACGCAAATCCCGTTATTGTCTATTATTCCATCACGACAATAACAATTACTATCAACACTGCAGTACCCGCTGCTTACTTGGACTCGAATTCAACCCTGGCCATCAAGCGCAAGCTCGGTGGTCTAGAAGTATAATGCCAGGCTAGTGATCTGATGATCGTGGGTTCGACTCCCACCCGAGAACAACTTGCGATTTTTTTTCGCAGTTGTTTTCAAATGTACTGAGTATTCGGTACATTTACACGTCAGGTAGGGCAAAATTACACCTATACATGTTTCTCCTGACGCAAATCCAGTTATTGTCTATTATTCCATCACGACAATAACAATTACTATCAACACTGCAGTACCCGCTGCTTACTTGGACTCGAATTCAACCCTGGCCATCAAGCGCAAGCTCGGTGGTCTAGAGGTATGATGCCAGGCTAGTGATCTGGAGATCGTGGGTTTGAGTCCCACCCGAGAACAACTTGCGATTTTTTTTCGCAGTTGTTTTCAAATGTACTGAGTATTCGGTACATTTCCACGTCAGGTAGGGCAAAATTACACCTATGCATTTCTTTAGTTAGACCTTTTTTTTTTTAATTATTCCAGTGTTATTTATACTGTAATTCTATTTCGTTCTTACAAGAACTGTGTTCAAGTAACTGTGTTCTGTCTTTATTTGTATGTTTACTTATTTCTATTTGTATTTTTTATCTGTTTTATCTTCAATTTTTAGCTTAAGATGTTCCTCTTCGCAATATTTTTGTAAATTTTAATTAATATCAAGCTGTCAATTACCAAACCACAAGGACAATCGGAAAGTTGTCGTGTGTAATCGGAAATATTCTGCATAATAAATTTGGGAAAAGTTAGGGCTCCCGTCAGCACAAAAGATATACATTGACAATGATGGAACTTTGACTGCGATTGAAAAAAAAACAAAACATAACGCAACATAATCAAAATAGAAACATTACTATTGGAAACGTTCAATTCGGCGATTCTGTTTCATTCATATGCAACAAATATTCATTATCATTACGGAGTCGCCGATATGTTAATAAGTCTCTTTATTATTAAGTCTAGTAACAATGCCAGAAGTGGTTTGGGTTACTTTGATATTCCTAATTCTTTTAAAGTCAGGCTCCGGAAGAAAAAACACATTGATATGTTGTAGAACTGATATTTCTAAGACAGAAAAAAGTAGTTTGATCAAAAACTAAGCAACGGTGAATGAGATACAGATTTTTGAATATTTAAAAACTGGGGGAAAAATGTGTAAGAATGTGCAAAAATGTGCTGTTACGCCCCCCCCCCCCCCCCCCCCCCAAGCTTTTAAATATTCAATAACCTGTATCACGTTCACCGTTAACCAGTTTTTCGTCAAACTGGAGTCTGTCAATTATTGTAACTTAGGGGTGTATTTGTCAGGAACTAGATGGCTAGAAATTACTCTCAGACTAAAAGATTGTTGCTCGTTAAATTTGAATATGAGCGAGCCCTATACAAATCTTATGTTATTAATTTTATTATTATTATTTATAAATATTAAAATAGTATAGGTTAATTGGCCGCAATATATAAACTGTGCTTTGCTCTAAATATAAATTGTAAGTGTTAAATGATATACAGGATCTGTGATATATTCAACTTGTGTAATTGTGTAACGTACATTTTATCGTATTAAAAGTCTCGTCTCTTTTTTAATATTGTATTATGGCTGTACAGTGTGTTACTTTTATGAACACACTGCAAGAGCGTGTCTGCTGTTTTAAAAGCGTCGTTTCCAAAATAAAGTTATAATAATTATATAATAGATTATAAAACATCACCTTTATTTTCATTGTCATTCGTATTTATACAGGCTGTACAAACAATTGAAATTAAGAAGAATCATTTTTTAATATTGTTTAGTGAACAACTTTTAAAGGTCGTCAGAAAAGGGCAAAAATTATAATTTTTTCTAATTTAGCTTAAATATCTTTCCGAACGCATGTAGGCGAATGAGAAAATAAAAATAAAATTTTAATGATGAACGTAAACAGTGTAATAATGCAATTGATAAATGCTTTAAATTTATATAATTAAGGAAGAAATATAT